AAAGCTTTAGAGTTGATATGTTTGAAAACCCTGACCAATTCCGTACAAAAAAAGCCTAGCATCTTAAACGCTGAATTCACCATTTGAGTGATGTGATCCTTGAATATCAGCTTGGCATCGAATTCAACACCCAAATCTTTGAACGTTTCTGTTCTTTCGAGTAAGTGACCATTGATACTATAATCATAATGGATTACATTTTGCTTCCTACTAAAAGACAGAACTTTACACTTTGATACATTAATCGTAAGAGAGTTTCTGGAACACCAAGAACCAAGAATGCACCAAGTTCAAGCTGTTTTGAAGAGAGATACATTCGTGATAGCTCTGAATAGCAGTATAAATTTTTAAGTCATCAGCATAAAGTAAATGCATACCAAGCAATTCCAGCGACAGATTATTTATAAACAACACAAAAAACAAAGGACCCAAATTGGATCGTTGGGGCACTCCAGATGTTTCTGTATAAGAATTAGATTGAAAACCACCAAACTCAATGTACAGATTTCTATCAAATAAATATGATCTGATCAACTTCAATAAAGATTTAGACAACCCAATCAATTCAAGCTTAGAAAGAAGCAAGTAATGATCTATCTGATCAAAGGCCTTTTGAATGTCAGTATAAATGACATCCAACTGACCCTGGTCATCTAATACCTCAGAGATAGTTTGAGACAGGCATGTCAGATTTGTGACTGTTGATCTGCCAGCAACGAAACCATACTGGTTAGGAGATAAAGTACATTTGACAGAGTTGAAAATGGTATTATAAATAATAACCTCAAAAATCTTACCAAAATTGCAAGGTATCGCAATCTGCCTATAGTTACAAATATTAGTTACTATATAGTTAAAAATATTGTATATTACTAGGTCCTATCCGGATTTTCAATCGTTTTATTTTCTTCTAAACATCGTTTATTTATGTATAGGGTTACTTAGATTTATAACATATCACCTGACAGATAACATTATATTGAACAAAATAATCTTGTGAACGAACGCATTTTACGGCGGGTTCATTCCTTGTAAGTTTTATACTTTCAATTTCTCTTAAATTACTTGAGTGATTCAGATGAAACTGTGAATCGACAGTAGACGTTAGAGGACTAAAATTGTATAGGTTAAATGTGACTGAGTTATCCATTGGCGACGATTTCATTTAAAGGGTTATTTCGAAGCTTAATTAAACAAGCCAGTGTTTTTTTTTGTCAGAGCGATCAAGGGAGACTTGGACGAAAAAATATCTTCGGCTGCATGTAAAAAAAAGTAATTTAAGGGCTTTTAACGAGAAAAAAATTTCAAATGATGAACGTACCTGAATTTAACTAATATGTGGGAGTACCCCTGGTTCGCTTTTGATTCACCAGGAAATGAGAAAATCAACAAAGTTGACTATTTTTGATTGAAGCATATTTAATATACAAAACCTAGAATATATTTGACTTCATATGGATCAAAATATAAGGATTTCTGTTCTTTTGTATGGGCTCCGATTCAGGAACAGTTTACACCTCCCAGTTTGTTTCTATAACTACATACTCTGAAATTCCTCATCAACAGGCAAGCGGATGTTTTATTTCGAAGTTTCTGGATTAAACCCACGAAGAAATCAGTGACATGCTTAGTTAAACTCATAACGATCTGTTAAAATTTGGAAGTAGCGCCTATGGGTAGTTAGACAGCCAATACAGCTGATATTCCTTAATGATTACGGTCGATTCACAGAGCTTAATCTAAGTCCCTCAAGTAATTTAAAGATGAAAGATGGTGTTATATTATAAACCTAAATAACAGTATACACAAATAGACGAAGCTTAAGGAAATTAAAAACAACTGACAGTTATAAAAATGGCGCCAAGCATTTGACTCTGCACTTCTCATGCAACTCTGCCATCAGTTCGTAAGGTTTACATTTGTCATTCTGATCTAACTTCAATTATGTATAACGAAAAAATAAATGAATGAATTCTAGTTTCTGTCCAGAATTTTCTTTGAAAATGATCAGGAGCTTCTGAAACCTCAAAAAATGGATGTCTCAAAAACTACGAAGCTTTCTAGTCATTAGCGAAGTAGTTATCTCTTGGAAAAATTTCGCCAAAATCCAAGCGGTAATTTTCAAGTTATAGACGGGCCAAGGATTAGCCGACAGACAGACCTACAGAAAGAAACGATATGGTTTTTCGTGATGTACATGTTATATAACATCCAAAAAACATAGTATCCTACTTTCGAAATATTTCGCGATTACAATACTTCATCGCCTATAGCCGTGGAAAGTAAAAGCAATCAAAATCAATCTTATCTTAAGCGCATTCCATTAAACATGTCATACTGTACCTAAATTTAATCTCAAGAGCTTCCTACTATGAAAGAAGTGGTATTCTTATTTTCAATAGCGCAAGAAGCATCAAAAAATCTGTTTCAAGGTTGTCGGGTTAGAAGTTTCTCCATACTTTGTTCTTGGAATCTGACACTACTTTTGCCATACAACTTTGTCAAGTGTGAGAAGAAACTCATGACACTGACAGTATGATTTGAAATGTATAGACATGTTCTATTCGCAACCGGAATAAATGTTTATTCCTATTTGCTCATCTATCCAGCGGAAAACATAGAATATTTGAATGCATTTGCTTCTAATGTACATATTTCGAATGCGTTTTCCTAATACGCGAGTCAAGAATAATAATAATAATAATAGTTAACGTCTTTTTATTTGTAATAGTATTCCAGGAAGCGAGATTTAGATAAGATATCTATTCTACCATCTAACCCCCTTAACAATCTAATATCTGTAAATAGAATAGGGGATAGAATGTAGCGAATTTGAAAAATTGGTGCAGTAAATGTGTATAAGCTTGGAATTTAACTTGTACTAGGTTCTGCAAAGAATAAAGAGCTGTATTTGAAAACAATAATCAATAGTTCATTAAAAGCTAAGGAAAACTTAACAAACTCATCACATGGCGGAATAACTAGTAGTGTACTCACCAAGAACCATATGTAATGGCCCTCATGATATTATGAAAAATACAATTTTGTCAAAGCTTCTTATATTTTGAATATTTTTCAAGAATAATTTAGGTAGTTCGACAGGTCAAAAATTTCATCATCCTATTTTTTGTATGCAAGGAGGTAAGGAATTAATAATAGTCTGGAGTTTGTTATCTGGTTTGGAGCACTTGTTTACCAACGTTACTTATAACGATACTATTATGAAGTATACTGGCAAACCAGAAACATCAAAAATCATATACAATATGATAAATTGGACCAAGCAGATTCTTTATGAAAAATGGGTTTTGATTTTTAATGAATATGGTGTTTTGTCGATCTCATCACGTAATACGTTGTCGATGTGACTAATTGTTGCAATCATAAAGTGTCCTATGACTTGTATATCTACATAGTGACTTAAACTTGGAGGTATATCGAAAGCTACCTAATATTTCAGCGTTTTCTGTATGTTGTGATCTAAATCAAATACCAAAGTTCTTAAAAAAATAGTTGAAAGTCACTTGTCATAAGAATTCTTCGAAGACATTGGACTTTTGAGTTGAATATGTCTATGACAGGACCTTAAATCGCTGTACAAGTAGCAAGAAAAAGTTACCACATCGAGTTTTCATATTCTTCGATTTTATTAAAACTTAATTACTGTTAAAGTGCAACATAAACTCCGAAAGACGCTCTCTCAATTTTATAGTGTTGGATAATCTCGGTTTCTGAGAGAATTTTTTAAGTTCGGATTAATAACAGTTACAGTGTAGCGAGTAATATGAGGCATGCAAGATGTATGGGGATAATAAAGAAAAACTTTATTAAAAAACTCCATTCTTTCCTACTGGAAAGAGTTTATTGCTCAGAAGCATATAACTGTCAGAGGAAGAATAAAATTTCTTAAAATACGGCAACCTTAAAAAGGAAGTTTGTTAATTTAGATCCTCGGAATTATAAGTGTAATAGGGCACTTCCGAAATTTATGGCCAGAACCATTAAAATGCTTAACACCCAGGGTTTTATGATTGAAACTAGTGATTTGAGACATCTGCTTATATATGTTAACTATTCCGATTATGAATGAAATCTAGATTGTAAGCTAATTTTCCGGTGACTTTCTACTAAGTTCTCTGATAATTTCAAAGGGTATATAGCGAAATATGTAGCCAAGCAAAAAAGCTTTGGTTGTTATGTTTGAATACTGCGTCGTCCACTATTCTTCCGAATTACCGGTTGCACTCTCACCAAGATTAAAAATCAGCAATCAGAGTGCTCTGAAAATAATACTATTTATTATGTGACAAACTAAAAAAAATAATTTTATTTGGGAGAGATTGAGATCTTCGAGTTGGTCTAGAATTACTAATTTTTCTGCCTACTGAAATTATACTGATTTCATAAAATTTCACTTTGAATTTCCTTTCTAAAAATGAGCCTAACTCCAAAAGGTATTCTGAGCATATTAGAGAGCTTTTAGTGACCTTATTTTACTGCTTTGTTATGATTCTGTGTTTGCAGAGTAACAAGACGAATCTTCGTACTGCGTTGCCAAAATCAGAAGTTTCGGGGAGTAAGGAAGAGCTTAGTTCGTAGGGTTATTTTTTTATTCAGCGCTGTTGTCAAAATTCGTGAAGCCGGAAAAATTGCTGTTAGCTGGAAAAATTTTTTTTTACAGACGGCTCTCAGTATGTGTCCATATAAAACACTAATCTTGACACGTCCGTCAAATCAATGTACTGACAACACAGTAAGGGTACCTGATGGCTCTATTTTGGGACCATTTTTATTCATTATATGATAAAGAATTTGAAATAGTGATCTGAAAGTAGACGCAATTTTCATGCGGATGAGGCGCTCATTGTTATATCGAACCAGTGCGACACTTCATTAAGACAAAAATGTAAAGCCTTACTTCAGGCTATTCATCTTTAGGTTGGCAGTACCCAACTGCATTTGAATCCAAAATAACCATGTCTTGTGAGATTCGATAAAGTTCAGAAGAAAGTAATTATCGTTAATGTAAATGTCTCACCAATATCTTTGAGACACAAGTAAAGTTTCTGGGATTGTAACTTGACGCAAGCCTTAATTTTAAGTACAATTGCATCTGGTCTCAAAAATAAACTATATGCTATCTGGAATATAAAAACAGTATTTTCGTAGGAGCCAATTAGTTGCTATTTACTAAGCTCAAATTGACTCCAGATATGCTTTGTGTTTCTGAGGTTTGATAACTAACTGTCAGCGGGTATTGTTGAGGCAAAGAAGAGCAAGTAGATGTTTGGTTGTATTAACCGTTTATATTCTTAAAGATATTTTCAGAAGATTTAAGATTTTAACCATTCCATCATTGTTTTCATATGAAATGCTGGAGTAGGATTCGATAAAAAGATTTTTAATTAAGTAATTCTATACAACGGTGCAGTATGATGTCGCATTCATGTATTGGGTCAATGCACATTGGCTATGGTTGGCGAACGTTGGAACTGAATTACTTTGATTTCTATAACCAACGGGTGATACTAGGCCAACGCTACGTAGATAAGCAACTCGATATAAAGTGACAAAAACGTAGGTCAAACTGGTCTGCGATATGAGGATGTATAGATATGTTCTTGGTGTAGCTTTATTATATGTACAGGGTGTTCATTTGAATACTTGCCACCACGGGTTTATCGGAAAAAGGAAAAACGTCGAGACACATCTAAAGATCTATCAAGGGGGACAACCTTTGAACCAAAAACTACTTGACCCCCTTTCACCTTTTGTTCCCCTGGGTCATCTCCTTAAATTTTTTAAATGCCAAGGGGTATCGGGTAATAGATTGTTTGAAATGTCTTTCTAATCCTTTATTTTGGCGTTTGATTTTTTAAAATCGGTCGTCTCGTTTTCAAGTAAATTTGAAAAATCTCTATTTATCTTAATTTGTGAAAAATAATTGTTCAAAATGTTGCCGACTATTGGCCAAACAATGATATAGGTAATGTCCAAATTCCTGACGGACATTTTCAAGAACATGTTGTGCGATACCACGGCAGCTTTCGATGATGTGTTGACGAAGTTCATCCAAACTTTCAGGTAGGAGAGTAAACATAGATTTCAAATGGCCCCGTAGAAAAAAGTCTGATGGCGTGAAACCAGGAGATTTGGCAGGCAACTAACTCTATAGGCCCTCTCCGCCCTATCCATTTATCTGGAAACTCGTAGTCTAGCCATTGCCGAACCGGAAGAACTTAGTGAGGAGCAGCGGCGCCTTGCTGAAAATATTGTTTTAGCCTCATCACGTATAGAGTTTCCATTATCTTTGATTTGGCTTTCGATGGTTTCAGTTATAAGGGGATTGATGGTATTTTCCAACACATATCCAAATAAATGTCTCCATTCAAATTTTCATTTATAAACAATAGCCCAATTACTTTCCATCAATTTTTTGGAGGTACTGGGTATGCCCTTCTACAAAAGCATGAGAATTTTCATTGCCCCGATACCTGCAGTTATGCTTATTAACAGATCCATTTAGATAAAATGTGTATTCATCACTGAAGCAGATATTCTCTACATAATGGTATTATTATTAAACGCTGCAGTTATTTGTTTCAAAACTCAACTCGCCTATCGGAATCATCTTCGGTCAACTCTTGCAATATTTTCATTTTGAATGGATGATGTTTTAGTAACTGTGTGTACAGTACCTAATGAAATAGGAATCGCAGCAGCAATTTTGCATAATGAAGTATTAGGATTTATTCCCAAATAACCCAAAGCTTCACCTTGAGCGCTTTCATCCAAATCTCTCCGATGATGAAACAAAAATCAAACGTCAAAATAAAGGACGTCGAAAGACATTTCAAACAAGCTATTCCTCGATACCCCATGTAATTTGATTTTTTCAAGGGAATGACCCTGGGGGGGGGGCAAGGGTGAAAGGGGGTGAAGTGGTTGAAAAGTTGTCCCCTCTGACAAATGTTCTCACGTGTCTCGGCGTTTTTTCTTTTATTCAGTGGTTTTCGATAAAAACGTGGTGGGAAGTTTTCAAATGAGCACCCTGTATATTCTGGGAAACTGTAGCACCGCCCCAAATAAGTCTTTCAACTTTACAGGAAAGCAAAAACGTGTTACGAATACGAAAATGTTGTTGCTCAACTAACAAATTTGGAATTTTGATTAAGGGCGGTGCTAGGACTCAATCGACGTACAACACAGATATTATTTTTACCGTTTGACAGAATGGCAGATAACAAAGCTGGAATATGCTTGAAAATACTAACTGTTTTCTTCGTTATTGGCCACTTCTGTGTCGTATGTGATAATACGTAGCAAATGACACCGATGTCGAAACGAAAACATCAATTTTATGAAGTTCATTTCAAGCTTAGAAAGAAGCAAGTAATGATCTATCTGATCAAAGGCCTTTTGAATGTCGGTATAAATGACATCCAACTGACCCTGGTCATCTAATACCTCAGAGATAGTTTGAGTCAGGCAGATTTGTGACTGTTGATCTGCCAGCAACAAAACCATGCTGGTTAGGAGATAAAGTACATTTGACAGAGTTGAAAATGGTATTATAAATAATAACCTCAAAAATCTTACCAAAATTGCAAAGTATCGCAATCTGCCTATAGTTACAAATATTACTATATAGTTAAAAATATATAGGTCCTATTCGGATTTTCAATCGTTTTATTTTCTTCTAAACATCGTATTTATAGCAAAAAATGATGAACGTACCTGAATTTAACTAAAATGTGGGAGTACCCCTGGTTCGCTTTTGATTTATTCATCAGGAAATCAACAAAGTTGACTATTTTTGATTGAAGCCAGTGTCGTATGTGATAATACGTAGCAAATGACACCGATGTCGAAACGAAAACATCAATTTTATGAAGTTCCATATTTTCGTGCAACAGATCTCAAAGGCGAGATTAAAGTCATTAAGTCTTTTATCCATTGTTCAATACAAGTCAGTAAAGAGCCGACTTTATTACTAAAATTGTTGTTGTTGGTTGGCCGCGTGGGTCAGAGTGTCGTGCTACTGATCAGCCGGCCGGCCGGGCCGCGAGTTCGAATCTCGCCATCGCCATGGATGTTTTGTGTTTGTTTTAGGCAGCAGCGGTGGCCGCAGTAGTAGACTCTTCGGTCTCCTGATCAGTCGCCGTGCGCTGTGCGGGTTCGAGTCCCGTCCCAGGAGAAATTTTTCTCTTGGCTATGGATGTTGTGATTGTCCGTAGGTGGTAGATGGTCTCTGACTGTCGAACGCGGAGGTACCACCCGGCGGTTTTCGTAGGCGGAGCCAGAATGTGTGCATGTTGCATGCACACGTGTTCCCTCGCCAGAGTCCGTGTGGCGTCCCCCCTTTTCCCATGTATCCCCCTATAGCCCCACGGTACCCAATGGGTGCTTAGGCCTTAGGCCTTCGTGGTAGTTGGAGTATAAAAAAAAATTATTTATCTCATCATTTTGACAGCCTGAAAGTCTCATGCTACCCTGATAATTTTTTAGTATTTGTAGATGAGTAAATATAGTATTTGATGGAAAGAATCTGATTAGGTGTTCAGAGGTTAGGGATTCAGGTGTTATTTTCGAGAGTAAGTTGTCTTTTTCTAAACGTATTGAGAAAACTGTATCTGAGGCATTAACAGCATATGGGTTTTTGCAAGGACTTGTAGATGTTTTGACAATATCAGCACTATTAAAATACTTCACTTACACCAGATCGAAACTTGAATATGCTAGCATCATATGGAATTCATATTATGAAGTGTATAGAATTTGTACTGAATGAGTTCAGCTAAATATTTTATAAATTTATGGTCTTTAAAGTTGACGGCATTTATCCTGAAAGGAGAATCAATAAATATGAAATACCTAGTTTAGAGCATAAAAGACACTTCGCGACGGCGTTCTTTTTATTTAAATTGTTGCATGGATATGCTGATTGTGCTGATGCTCTGGGGCAAGTTGGTCTTGCGGTGCCTGCATATTCATCTCGGCCTAATGTGTCATTTAAGCTATCTAGACCAATATGTTATTTAAGTCTCCAGTGTATAATAATAATAATAATAATATTTATTCACTCAATGTACAAAGATAACAAACAATATGAGTAAATAAATATAAAATCAAAACAGGCCCAATAGAAGGCATCGCCTGTACATGGACCAATAATTTAAGTTGAAACTGTAGAATGCAAATGACAAAAAAGGACAAAAATTAGCTACAGTAGATTATGTATTTAGTTGATGTTGGTATTTATGAGTTTATGAATTTCAGTCCTAGATATAGAATGTAGCCACTTTTTTAAATTTCTTTTGAAACAATTTCCGAAACGTAAATCTTTTAAGTCTTTAGGTATAATTTCATAAAATTTAGGCGCTAAATAGAGATATGATCGCTGCATTATAGATTTATGAGGTTGAGGAACTACTGTGCCACGAATTTTGTACCTGGTATAATGATTATGTTTAATTTTTTGGTCGGTGTTTACAAATTTATGGTAGTGAGTGATACTGTGTAAGAAATAAAGCTGTCTTATATCATACATTCGAACATCTGCATATAATTTTTCAGTGGGATAAAGTTTCGGTTTTTTAAATATCATTTTTAGAATACTTTTTTGAAAAACATCTAAATTATAGATATGTGAGGAATATGCAGCTCCCCATGCTAATATACCATATGTGAGATGAGGCTCAATCAGTGCATGGTATAATGTTCGAAGATATTTTTCTGCCAATATATTCCCAAGGTATTTAATTTTGTAGGATACAAATCTAACTTTCTTTAAAATATAATTGACATGGATGTCCCATCGTAAGTGAGGATCCAAGACCACTCCAAGGTATTTTATGTTGGGCACTCTATTAATTTGCATTTTTTGATCATTAATATTGAAGGAGAAATTTGTGTAATTTGGCAGATGTCTAGCATAAGATCCAAATGGTAAAAAATGTGTTTTAGAGTAGTTAATGCTTAATTTTCTACTGTTAAACCACCAAATAATTTTGATAAAATCATTTTCAGTTACATTTTTCAGACCAGACCAGTCAGTGCCTTCATATAATATTGCAGTATCATCTGCAAAACTAGTTATTTTGCCAACACAATTAATTTGGAAAATATCATTTAAATATAT